GTAAAAGTAATCACATTTTGCCATGTTATAAGTTACATCACAGAAGCACAGGCAAAGAAAATTACAGAAGAGAAAAAAAAAAAAAAATTTAACAACAAAAAAAACTCTTCAAAAATTCCAAAGAATATACAAAATGTAAAATAATTTTTAACACAAAAGAAAAAACAATAAAAACAAACTACACCAAGAAAAATAAAAAAAAAACAACAATATCCAATGTGTCTGTTTTTTTTGTCCAGCACACACCAATGTACACATATATACAAGCCTTAAAGGCTAACTAACATACATAGCATTGTATATACATATGCAAATACATATGCAAATATATACAGAAGCAAAAGGCGCTTCAATTTCCAATAAATTCATGTGATGCCGCAAAGCTCCAAGGTACATGTCCAAAGGAAGTTCTGTCCCTTCAAAAGCCGACCCACAAAGTTAGACAAAGATCATCTAGTCATCCCTCCAAAAGGCACTGTCCCTCCAATGAACATGTCACCTAGGACAAAAAAAAGGGAAAGGTAAGTTCCAACATCATTAAAACATATAAAGATGCATATATACCAAAAGCCATACAACTTTAATATCTACAAAAAGGAAAAAGTAAAAAGATCACAAGGCTCACAGACTCCTGCGAATTCCAGATTCTGAAGAAACCCTCAGGCACCTGGCTACCTTCAAACCAAAAACAGGGAGAAGGCATCAAACTTCCTGCAAACTCATGGAAAAAAAACTCCCATCAGGCCACAAACCAACTTTCCCATAACGCAAACTTCCACAGGAACACAGGATACAAGGTACAGGGGCTCATGGGAAACAACACCAAGGCCCTGACTGCAGGTCTGGCCATTCCTTAAATACACCTCCTGCAATCAGCCCCAGGTGTTGGCTGATTGCAAGAGTGAACTTCTGGCTGCTGAGAGCACCCGCTGGTCAGCCCTGGTACTGCAGCCCACACGGCAGGTGAGTCCCACCACCATTGGCAAGTCCATTCCTGACAGAAACATGTACAGCTGAGGTCAGTCACCTGCTATGTGCTACAGGAGGGCGGGGCCATCTCCCAGGATTGCTTGTTGCGGGCAAAGATTGTCAGAAGTGATGCAGATGACAGTGGAATGAGAGAGCACACAGAAATCACACTAGGTGCTTTGGATAAAGGCAAGTACACACTATAGAAGGATCTGCTTTGTTAATCTCTAATTTTAGAGGTTTAGAACTACTTTAAAGGAGACCAGTACTATCAGTGCAATATTTTTGTTATAGTGTATTATTTTTAACAGAGGGCTGTTTGTCAGGGACAGCTTTATTTGTAAAAAAAAAAAAGAAAAGAAAAAGATGGGACAGCTGAGACGGACAGTGTCACAGTTGGATTTTATTCCTTAATACAGACACACCCTCCAAATGAGGGACTGTTTTTGAGCTATAAAATCTCCCCCCAGTTTAACACTCCTAAAAATACAACCCTGGTGCTTTTGATGAAGCTGCTTTGACTAAAGAGATTATTAATATTTTCTCTGCCTATAATATGCACTGTGTGTTTGGGAACATATTCTATAGGCTGGCTTCCTGTAATTGAATAAAGAAGGATTCCAGGACGAGTAATCTGTGATTTGCAGAGTGTAGAGCGTGGAGAAGTGCTTGCAGAGCCATGCCGCTTTCCTTTCTATCAGCGTTCCCTATAATTAGCTACAGACCTACGGATCCTTATATTTGGCAAACAATGTCAACATACCAGCTGAGAAATTGACGTTGTCTCCATTGAGGTGGAGGGATCAAACAGGCAACTTGTCATTTTGACAAAATGTTCCTGTTTCCTATTTGATGCATAATGCCTGGCGACATTCGAGCTGGCTGCAATGCAGAAACGCTGTCCAGGTCATGTGAGGACTGGGCACAATTGGTAGCAACCTGTAGCAGTTTCTGACTGTAGTTTGCTTCACTATCTTGTTTTATAACACAACCATATGCAACGATGATTGTGCAATAATCATAATTGTGATACAACTTTAAATTTGTGAAGGTCACCTATAATGTGTTTTAACAGTGAGTGCAAATTTTGAGCTATTATGTAAATGTATCTAAAAATTGTTTTTGCTTTACATACATTTTACCTAGAGCTGGGCTTAAAGTAGAAAATATTTTTTCTCATTACTAGAACAATGTAATATGCTCAAAAGAGGGAAGGTGGAGTTTTGAGGATCACTTGGCTAATGTCTGGATGTATGCTTTAAGCTCTACTTACCCTCATAAATAAACTGTACCACCACTTCATAGTATGCAAAAGCTCTGTTCCACGTAGATTGCATTGATTCCCAGATCTTGTCCATCCTAGCAACTTTGTATTTCTATAGCACTGTAATGTAGTGTTTGGTCCCCCTTAGGACTCATTCAGATGGGTTAATAAGAATGGGTAGGTAGCCGCATTCAGATGTGGATAAATAATACATTTGTGCTTTGGCCACATAAAAACTTTGTATGCAGCTAGAAAAACTGTCCCGGAACACAAACGGTTAGAGTACCTAATTCCATGTAACCACTAGGTTGAACAGCAGCGACACTGGGCAGTGTGACTGCACTGCTGCATGGGGATATTTTCCCACCTGAAAGAATCAGAACTAGTGGCTGTCTGTGTGAACCGGCCCTAAAATGGTCACTGCAGATCTCCAGATAAAATCTTAAAAAATGAATTGTTAGTGTTTCTCTCCCTGTAGAAAGGTTAGGTCGGGTCGTGGAGGCATTTGGAATGGCAGTGATGTTCTGAAATTCTGAACGATACCTGCACTTAACTGCATTCATCTACCTTTAGAAACCCACTAAAACCTTGTTTAAAGTTAATCTGGATGAGTTACAATTCTTCTAGTGTTCCTGGTGACAAGGATAATGCCCATTTGTCTGAAATGTCCATCACAAGGTCCTCAATTGGTCTAGCAACACTATTAATGTCACAAAATCCCAATGCAAAAGGAGATAAAAAAAAGATGGTCAGCTGGCAAGTGGTGCAGCTTCCAATCGCCATTCTTTAGTACCTGTCATTAGACAGTGGATTTGAAGGATAATTTCACCTTTTGTTACATGTTACCCCCACATTCAAGGTGTACCATGTAACATTTGAACCGGCCCCTGCACCCCCCCCCCAATCCTCCCACTGGGACAGCTAGCGTGAGGAGAAGATCTTCTGAAAAAAAACATGGCCACGTCATCCATTCACATTGGTCTGTGAAATGGAAAACTACAAATCCTGACAGCCTTTGCGGCTGTTGGCTTGTAGTTCTCAATGAACTACCACGACCATGGGCGTATTTGCCGCAAGGCAAACAAGGTATTTGGCTTGGGCGGCATTTTTCCAGGGTGCGATGCCACCCTCCAGTCAAAGGGGCCCAGACGGCTTGTGGAGGCAAAGAAAGGCTGGAGGAGGATCATAGATCGGAGCAGGGAGGAGAGACACAGCCTGCCACTGGGGAAGGAGGAGAGGAACACAGGAGAATCCGGCATCGGGGAGGAGATCAGACCAGAACCAGTCACCCTCCCTGATCGGAGGTCAGAGGATTCATATCTACTGAGCGGTAGGACCACTCGGAACAGCCACAGAAGGCTCTCCCAGGAGCTGGTATCTCCTCAGCTGAGGTTGGGTACTGGAGGTGTCCTTCTCTTGGCCGCTGTTTGGGACTCTTGAACTGGTGAGACTAGCTCAGTTGTCACCTCTCTCCTCACTGTCTTCACCGATTCACTCACAGAGAGCACACGAGACATGGGACTCTGATTCTGCTTATCCTACCCCAGTGCAAACTCTCCCCGCTTCAGACCATCCTGAACTCAGCTGCCAGACTCATCCACCTCACCAGCCGCTTCACCTCTGCCACCCCCCTCTGCCTCTCCCTCCACTGGCTCCCCATTGCCCAACGCATTAAATTCAAATTGCTCACCCTGACCTATAAGGCCATTCACAACACTGCCCCTGACTACCTCACCGACCTGATTCCCAGGTACCACCCTACCCGTACCCTTCGCTCTTCACAGCACCTCCTTCTATCTTGCTCCCTGGTCTCCTCCCACGCACGACTGCAAGACTTCTCCAGGTCCTCCCCCATCCTCTGGAACTCACTACCCCAATCCATCAGACTGTCACCTTCCCTCCTCTCCTTCAGGCGCTCCCTGAAAACCCACCTCTTCAGGGAAGCCTACCCCACCCTCACCTAACAGCCGCTGCCCTTCCCTCCTCCTACCACTCCATCCCCCACAGCCATTTCCTCCTGTACCACTACCCCCTCCCTCCTAGATTGTAAGCTCGAAAGAGTAGGGCCCTCTAACCCCTCGTGTGCTGTTTGATGTTACTGTACTGTTTCATGTATTGTCCCCCCCTCTATTGTACAGCGCTGAGCAAACCCTTTGGCGCTATATAAACTCGATAAATAAATAAATAAAATAAATAAATCTAGGAGTACAGCTGTAGCCTAAAGAGGAAGGTGCGGAGTTTACAGATGAAGGTGTGAAACTTAAACAGGAAGGGAAGGAAATTAAGATGGGGGCACCCGATTTTTATATTGCCTAGGGCAGCACAAAACCAAAATATACCACTGACCATGACACTGTTGAGCGCTGTAGTAGTTTATTCTCTCTTCCTTTCAGTGTGTATCTGCCTTCCCGTACAAGGTACGAGCACACAGATACACTAACAAGTCTGCAGGAGTCCTGCATGGCACCCGCAATCTGCTGATCCCAGGTGCAATACTTTATAGGTTCCAAATAAAATAAATAAATGCACTTTTTTTTATCTGCAAAAGTCCCTCGGACTCAGCGGATCACCGATCCACAGAAAGAGCCGAAGATGTCGGCTCAGTCATGTGATCAGCTGTGTCCAATCACAGCTGATCACATGTAAACAGGGAAATGCCAGTTATCGGCATTTCTCTCCTCACGAGCTGTCACGCTGACAGCTCGTGAGGAGAGGAGAGCCGGTAATTGGCATTCCTCGGAGGGGCCATGTGGACTGATTATCAGAGCACTGATGATCAGTGTGCCCTGATGATCAGTGTAGCCCCAGCAGACACCTGTCAGTGTCCATCAGTGCCAGTTCTCAGTGCTCATCCATGCCACCTGCCAGTGCACATCAATGCCATATATCAGTGCCCATCTGAGCTGCCTTTCAGTGTCACCTATCAGTGCTACCAATCAGTGCCACCTATCAGTTCCCGTCAGTGCCACCTATCAGTTCCCGTCAGTGCCGCCTAACAGTTCCAGTCAGTGCCACCTAAGAGTGCCAGTCAGTGCCATATATCAGTGCTGCCTTTCAGTGCCCATCAGTGATGCCTGTCAATGTCCATCAGTGCAGCCTATCAGTGCCCATCACTGCAGCCTCATTAGCGCACATCAGTAGAGAAAAATCACTTATTTACAAAATTTTATAACAAAAACTAAGACAAAACGTTTTTTTTCAAAATTTTCAGTGGTTTTTGGTTTAAGAAAAAAATTAAAAACCCAGAGGTGATTAAATACCACCAAAATAAAGCTCTATCTGTCACAAAAAATGATAAAAATTTCATATGGGTACAGTGTTGCATGACCGCGCAATTGTCATTCAAAGTGTGACAGCGCTGAAAGCTGGAAATTGGCCTGGGCAGGAAGGGGGAATACATGTCCTGTAGGCTAGTGGTTAAAGTATAACTGAAGGCAAAACTGTTATCACTGAGAGTAAAAGTGAAATAAAATTCCAGTGAAAGAAGCAGAACATGAGAAGCCATCAAATCTTCTAAAGCGGACACTAGTTCTCGGACATCCCTCAGAAGATGTTCAGTAGGATGAAATGTGTAAGGGCGGAGCTAAGTGTGGTGACATTGCGCTGACTCAGACAGGCAGCGTTTGTCAGTGTTAATGCCTGGCTTATATTTCTTCACTTGTGAGTATGTAACTTTTATTTTAACCACATGCCGCCCAGCCACTGTAGAAATACGTTGGCAGGGTGGCACGGCTGGGCAAAACCACGTTTTAAAACGCGTGCTTGCAAAACAGGTAGGGGGCGCGCACGAGGCGCGCCACCGCCCTACCTGTCCTGCCAATCACGGCCGCGGGTGTCAGTTGCCGGGTCACAGCCGGTCGTTACCAATCACTGACAGAGAGCAGGGCTGCAGTAGCTCTGCTTTCTGTCAGTTCCCTGTCAGCTCCTGACATGCTGAGCCGGGGAGAAGAGTTTATCTCTCCGGATCAGTGTGTCCCCTCCCCCCCGTGCAGTACACACCCCCGCCCCCTAGTAAAACACTCCCCTCACACAGTTAACCCTTTCAGTAAATTATAAATGTTAACCCCTTCCTCCCCAGTGCCATTAGTACAGTGTCAGTGTTTTTTTTTTTTTTTTTTGCACTGATCACTGTATTGGTGTCACTGGGGATGTCAGTGACCCCAAGTCAGTTCCACCCCAGTGTCAGAATGTCCGCCGCAGTCCCGCCATAAGTCGCTGATCGCCGCCATAAGTCGCTGATCGCCGCCATTATTAGTATAAAAAAAAATTAAAAATCCCACTATCTTTCCCGCCATTTGTAAACGCTATAACTTTCACGTAAACCAATTAATTTACACGTATTGGGTTTTTTTTTTAGCAAAGACATGTCGCAGAATTCATTTTGGCCGAAACTTATGACGAAATTAGATTTTTACATTTTTTTTACTGGACATGTTTTATAGCAAAAAGTCCAAAATATTGTTTTTTTTTCTCAATTGTCAGCCTTTTTTTTTTTAAAGCGCAAAAAATAAAAAACGCACAGGCGATCAAATGCCACTGAAAGAAAGCTCTATTTGTGTGAAAAAAAGGACTTAAATTTTATTTATGAACCGTATTGCATGACCGCACAACTGTCCGTTCACAGACGTTCACAAAAAGCAATCAATATACACTTATTGGGATTTTTTTTTACCAAAAACATGTAGCAGAATACATTTTGGCCTAAATTTATAACTAACTTTGAGTTTACTATATATTTTTTTTAGCTGAACATTAAAAAATATAGTTTTTCTTCAAAATTTGTGGTCTTTTTTTGTTTATAGCGTGAAAAATAAAAAGCGCACAGGTGATCAAATACCACCAAAAGAAAGCTCTATTTGTGTGAAAAAAAAGTACATAAATTTCGTTTGGGTGCAGCATTGCATGACCGCGCAATAATCAGCTGAATTAGTGCAGCGCCAAGTAGCAAAAAGAGGCCTGGTCAGGAAGGGGGGTAAATCCTCAGGAGGGCAAGTGGTTAATAAACCGATTGGAAAACTGCTACACTAGGTGGTTTCTTCCTCCTTTCTCTACTCACAAGACTTGATTTTCGCATACGAGGCTACCCTCGTCCTACATAGAGAGAGCCTTCCATCCTTCTGTGAGCAGTATGAAGTGCTTCGAGACCTCCTGTATGAGGAGGCCTGAGTTTCTGGCAAGCAGTTTTGTTTGATGGTGGCTACAGCTGGTGAAGGTGGCTAAAAGGCTGAGCTTCACAGTGGACATTTTTTAATTTTACTGTATTTTGGACTTTTATCACTCTTCACAGTTGGCTTTGTTGGAATGTAATATGTAATTTGGAATGTATTTCTAACAGCGCAACACATTGTATATATTTATTGTAGGTAACATGGTGTTCAGGAATCTGTGAGTGCTGCTGTTTTCACTGATTTTTTTTTTTATTTTTATTCATTATTTTTCACTAAGCAAGTTTGCTCACATTCAGGGACACTAATTCTGGTTACAATTAGGGATTCCCTGACTTTGAAGGGATTTCCTCTCACTTCCTGTTTTGGCTTTGAGGACAGGAAGTGATAGGAAATCTCCCCACTGGGACACAGATGGGAAAAAAACTGAAAGGGTTATAATCCTTCTTGCTGTATCGAAAAAAAGGTGTACTTTGGGAAAGCAAAAAAGAACAGTAAACAAACTATTATTTTCTTATTTATTTATACTTTTGATGATAATAGTGAATAAAAAAGGTGGGCAGCACAGTGGCTAAATGGTTAGCACTTCCACCTGGCTGTACCAAGGTCGCTGGTTCAAATCTCAAACACAGCACCAGCTGCCTGGAGTTTGCATGTTCTCTTTGTACCTGCGTGGGTTTCCTCCGGGTACTAGTATGTGTATGAATATAGGTTAGGGACCTTAGATTGTATGCCCCTTGAGGGTTAGGGGCTGATGTAAAATATATGTATGTAAAGCGCTGCGTAAATTGACGGCGCTATATAAGTACCTGAAATAAATAAATACAAAATTCCCAACTGACAAAGCTTTAGTACAAGAATGGGGATCTTTATTTTAGCCATGTGACTATAGTTTTCAAATGTCATTGGACTCTGTTGAAGATAGCTGTCACTTATAAAAAAATAAGGATCTTTCTGTTAAAACTTTGTGAATGGAGCCTATTGTGATTTGTGTCCAGTTACTCACATACTTTGGAGCTTTTGCATAGTTTGCAATGCAGTTTTGCGATCCACCACCTGTGGCGCTATGCACACTGAGCTTCCCATGGGGCTTTTCTCAGCAGCTGTTGCACGGGTCCTTAGCTATGTGTCCTGTGAAGATGAAGCTTCAGACAGATTAGAAGTCAGTAACACACCTGCAGGCATTCGGTGTTTTCTCCCTGCAGCCCCTCGCAGAACACCACAGAACATCACCTTATCTGATTTCAAACAAACTTGATGGTTTTGGAGTTGGTGTTTTTCGGAAGATCAGCTTGTTAGAAGAATTATGCTGTTACAGGGAAAAGTGGTCACATCTGGATTTGGTTTAGTTCTTAATCCACCTGATTGGAAGCAACAGGTTCTCCCCTATCTGTGTGCTTCAAACACTGACACCTAGTGTTCACTACCTGCTCTCCGGTCAGCCTGCCGAGTGATAACATGTCAGTGCGAGAAATCAACCTTAATGGTACATTGGTAATTGTTGGTGTAGGTAAAGGAAACGAAAACATACCTTGCATCCATCAAACCTAGTCTATGAGGTCTTAGATCTATGTGTGCATAGAGTAGTGTTTTTTTTTTTTAGTATTAGGCAGGTGAGTTGTCACATGCATTTCCTTTGAGCATCAGAATGTGTTTTGATGCATATTTTTAGGATTTGGAATTTGGAGTGGATAGGGTTAAAATTCATTGACCAAGATTTGTTTATAAGGGCCTGTTCTCAGACAATTTTAGCTCTGTTGTGGGCCAGCGATGGGGATGGGAGGATGGAAAGGTGGTTGATGTAATGCATTGTTACAAGGCACTGTTTACATTTTTAATTTTTTGTCAAAGTGACATTTTATTCATTTCTATGCACTACAGTGGAGCTACAGCACAGACATGAACAGTGATTTCAGGGGAGTTCTGGTGTGTTTGCTTAAAGATCAACTCCTGGCAAAAAGTTATTACCCGTGCAGTGGGGCTGTGCCTGCACTGCACAGGTTAACTGCTTGTTTTATTCTATGGAGAGGACCTCAGAGATATACTTACCCGATCCACTGAACCTCCCCACACAAGATCGGTCTGCCCCTTATGCTCCAGCAGTCTTGAAAATGAACTGTTCCTGACGTCAGGTCTCTTCAGGGATGTTCAATAGAGTTCAAGCTAGGGCTCTGGCTAGGCCACTCTAGGACATTCGCAGAGTCACTCCTGTCTTGTCTTGACTGTGTGCTTAGGAACTTTGTCATTTTGTAAGGTGAATCTCAGGTCCTGAGAATTGTGGAACAAGATTTCATTGAGGATATCTCTGTACTTTGCTCCATTCAGCTTTCCCTCAACCCTGACCAGTCTCCCAGCCCCTGCTGCTGTAAAACACCCCCACAGCATGATGCTGCCACCACCATGCTTCATTGTTGGGATAATATAGGGCAAGTGCTTAGAGGTATCTGTTCAATCTTGCATTCATCATAAGAGAGAATCTTGTTCCTCACAGTCTGAGAGTCCTTAAGGTGATCTTTTGCAAACTCCAAGCAGGCTGTCATATGTTTTGCACTGTGGAAAGGCTTCCGTCTAGCTACTCTGCTGTAAAGCCCAGATTGGGGGAGGGTTGTAGTGATGGTCCATCTGGAACGTTGTGCCAACTCCACACAGGATCTTTGGAACTTAGTCAGAGTGACCATCGGGTTCTTGGTCACCTCTATACCTAAGGCCCTTCTCCCCCGAATGTTCAGTTTGGCTGGGCGACTAGCTCTTGGAAGAGTCCTGGTTGTGCCAAAGTTCTTCCATTTCAGAATTATGGAGGCCACTTTGCTCTTGTGAACCGTCAGTGCAGCAGAAAGTTTTTGTAGCTGTCCCAAGATCTGTGCCTTGCAATAATCCTGTCTCAGAGCTCTGCAGGCAGTTCCTTTTGACCTCATGGCTTTTGCTCTGATACAGTATGCATTGTTCTTTTGGCCTTTTATAGAGGGGTGTGTTCCTTTCCAAATCATGTCCAATCAATTTAATTTACCACACTTGGACTCCAATCAAGGTGTAGAAGCATTGTAGCAATGATCAAGAGAAATGTGAAGCACCTAAGCTAAATTTCAAGTGGTGTTGCAAAGGGCCTGAATACTTATGCCAATGTCATATTTCAGTTTTTCCTTTTTCATACATTTTGCAAACATTTCTAAAATGCTGTTTTCACTTTGTCATTATGGTGTACTGTGTGTAGATTAATGGGGAAAAAATGAATTTAAGCAACTGTATCAGACTGCAACATAACAAAAATGAAAAAAGTGAAGGGGTTTAAATACTTTATAATTGCCTAATATATGAGGGGTGTTCAAGTCAAACCGGGACTTTTAGTTTTACAGGTATAACAAGGGATGCTAGTGTGGTGGTACTACCTGCAGTAGTAAGTGGCAAGTGTTTCCTATTACTGATAGGTGGCGCAGATGTCGCAGGCCAATCCACAGACCATTAATCAAGATGGCAGAGAAGAGTGTCAGTGCGTGCATGGAACAGCGTGTAGTGATGAAGTTTCTTGTGAACAAAGGGGCAAAACCTGCGGATATCTACAGAACACTTCAAGCACAGTACGGTGATGAGACGTTCAGCCGCAGTAAGACATTTGAATGGTGTAAACGGTTCAAAGAGGGCCCTACGTTCATCAGTGACAGTCCCAGCTGTGGTGTTTCCCAACCCACAGCAGTCATTCCTGTCAACATTCAGTACGTGGAACGCCTAATCTTAGATATTCGATGCATAACCTGTCGTGAAAT